CGACTCCATGGGGAAGACCTTGTCAACGCCATAAAACGGAAGCTTCCTTCCCACCATTTGCACTAAAGTAGTAATTAAATATGACTCGGTACATACTATATAGTTCTTGTCTATCATTAATTTTCTTTTTTATTATTAAACCGAATGAATATTCAACCCGTTTGCAATCCGACTAATCTTAAGATGACCACCTGCTTTGCGGGTAATCCGGAGTCACTGCATTTGAACTTCCATCCCTCATTAATTATTACTCTACTTTTCATGTTTTTGCATCCATCATTATCTATACTACCTTATAAACCAAATTTATCAAAACTCTTAAAACAAATTTTAATGCACAAAGTATTATAMATTTATGTACAAAGTWTTAAAAGTCTTAAAAACAACTCATAATGCACTAAGTACTACTAATTTTATGCATTTAGTTTTAAAATCTATTAATCTACAATTAAAAGAACATATAGTACAAGTTACCAATGCACATTATTACATTTTTTTATGTTCCCAAGATACTTTTCACACATTTCACTCATGTCTTCACCCTCTCATACCTCTATGTCTTCTTCCCATCCCTCAAGGTGAGATTCAAACTGATATGCACCATGACTTATTAAAAGTTCTCTCATTCATCTCTTATTCAATTGCTATAGAACTCTCGGTTTCGCTCTCGATCTCTTAATTCTTTGCTCTTGGTGTAAATCGAACAAATTTGTGGAGTCGTTTAAATATGTTGGATTTTAAATATATTGGATTTTAAATTGTCATACAATTTTTTTCAACGATAAACTGTAATTGGAACCATAACTCTTATTTATTCAAATTGTATTAATATGTAAAGACCAAATGTAACTTTATATCATCATTAAATCTTCTCTAATAAAACCAGTAAAACTTTAAAATCGTTAAAATTCATGGCTCCTGCTACATTGCACTGCACGGGTACACAACTAGTTTTATATAAAATAAAGTTCAGGTTAATTGTACCTTTCTACATTATGAAATACATCCTTATCTAATGGTTTCCTTTTCATATGCATCGATATCAAAACTCACTTTTTAAATTCTTAATACATAAATTGACTTGATTTTAACATTAAAAGAAGTATACGTAACAATCCCCTAAAACAAACCTATATAATATTGAAGTGTCATTTAGTTTTTTCAAATCTTACATTATTATTGGATTTTTGATATAATTAAAGGTGATTGAAATAATGATATGTTGATAGAGGGAGATGATGCAATTTGCTACTAAAACTCCATCCTCTCCTGCCCAAACTCCCTTCCTACAAAAAAGTAAAATCTATCGAAAAGATTTTTTTTTCAACTGTTTATCAATGTGGAACAACTAAAATTGAACAACAATTCATCATTTGAGAATACTCAATTCTTATGATACCATCCCAACACCTCAAATTTTTTGTTTTATATATAAATATATGAGAATACTCAATTCTTATGTCCATGACAGTTAAATTATGTCTCGGCTAAAGTTTTCAAAAACAATGTTTTAATAAAAAATAATTTATAAATATATTATTGTAATAAATAAAATTAAAAATACAAATTGATATAATTAAAAAAAGTTATACAAGTATATTATTATTTTATGCTTTTTACTTTTTTTCTTAATTTTAATTTTCCTTTTTTCTTAAATTTAACCCCGATAAAATTAAAAATTGAAATTGTGGCCACGCGGTTGTCAGTTGACACGAGTCTTTCCTCCATTCAGTCAAATAAAATAATGAAGGAAAATTAAAAATTGGTCCTATATATATTTATTTTAATCCTTCACTTTTTATTATTAAATTGGATAATCAACCCGTTATATAAGACGACTAATTTCAGAACAACCATCACTTCTGCGGATAATCTGAAATCATATTATTTAAACATCCGTGACTACAATAAGATTTTTATTTCTTTTTAGATTCGAACCTGAAACCTTCAAATACTTTTGACTTTTGAAACCCAAGATCAAACCAATTGGACACCACTTTTATGGTTAGTCTTTCACCTTTTTCACTCAAAAAGTAGTGTTTTTTCTAATCCGTGAATGTGGAATTGGTCCTGGTTTAATAGATCCTTTTATTTTAATTTTTAATTTCTATGTCCAATTTATTATGTGGGTAAAGGTGTTCCTTTCGCAGGTGTAAACGCATGTACCAGACTTTAAATAAAATTAATGAAAAGAAAAATTGCATTAAAATGGAAACAATTTTTACCTGATTCTGTTTTGGGGAATCAATTTTCAAAATTGTCATTTAGGGGTCTTTATCAAACTTTTTGTTTATTTAAAGGTCTCATTGACATGTTAATGCAGACATCATCCAGATCTTTTGCCAACTAATATATTCCACATTATATTAAATTTTTATTTTAAAACTAATATTCCACGTCATATTAATTTTTTATTTTAAAACCAATATCTCATGTCATATTTAAAATTAAAAATAATTATAGAAAAATAACTAAAATTCGTTTTTTTTAAATTATGGTAATAAAATCTATTTTTTATTCCAAATCTCGTTTTTTTTCTTAAAAAAATTCAGATATCAAATTGAAGATTTTTTCAAAAAAAATCTAAATTACCAAAATAAAATTTGTTTTTTACTAATGCAATAAAAAAATTAATTTAATAGAAAAAGTTAATTGATCCAATAAAAAATATATCAAATATTTATTGATGCAATAAAAAGATTAATTTTTATTGGTATTTATTTTTTATCGCATCAATTAATTTTTTCTATTAAATTGTTTTTTTTTATTGCATTAGTAAAAAACAATTTTTATTTTGGTAATTTGGATTTTTTTTTTGAAAAAATCTTCAATTTGATATCTGATTTTTTTTAAAAACGAGATTTGGAATAAAAAATAGATTTTATTACGATAATTTAAAGAAAATGAATTTTAGTTATTTTTCTATAATTATTTTATAATTTTAAATATGAAATGGAATATTAGTTTTAAAATAAAAAATTAATATAACGTGGAATATTAGTTTAAAAAAATTAATATGACGTGGAATATCTTAGTTGGCAAAAGATCTGGATGATGTCAGTATTAACAGGTCAACCAGACCCTTAAATAAACAAAAAGTTTGATAGAGACCCCTAAATGACAATTTTAAAAATTGGTTCTCCAAAATAGGAATCAGGTGAAAGTTGGTTCCATTTTGATGCAATTTTCCCTTAATAAAAATATAGATTTAAACTTTTTTTTGTTTTTTTCTGAATAGATTTCATAACTTTCCTCAAATAAAGAAAAGAAAACTCTGAAACCCTTTATAAAATCCATACAAACAACCGAATCCACATGAAAGTTATATGTCAAATCAAAAGAGCCCTTCTCATGTTTCTAGCAACGACTCAAAGCAAGAGGGGATTCGTGGATCGAATAGAGAAGTGCAAAAAAACCTTGGATCAGTTCATTAATAACAAGACTTGAAAATATTTGACGTTCATTCCTAAAGGTCATTGGTCCTTGTCCTTTTCTCCAGACCTCGTGAAATTTGTCAAGATGGGCGCAAATTGACCCAGACTTCCATGTTTAACAAAGATACGGCCATAAACATGATGGTGACCATGCTTAAGTGTGTGCAAATGCCAATATGTTACTTGTGGATGTTGCATATGTTCAAATCATCTGTTCTTTAGTAAGTATGCATGTCATCCAAGATATCTTGCGCTTATATAAACTGTTTGTTAATTTACTATAAATTGTTAAACTATAAACTTATTAAGTCAGAGTCGACTGTTAATATGTACCTCAACATCAATCGAAGCAGTATGCAACAAAGGACAAGGATTATATCTGGCGTGTTATGCTAAACAATGCTAAGATTTTATTATGCTCTTCAAGTTTGAACTACATCACTATTTAAGATATTATTCATTACTTTCGTGCATTGAACTTCCAACCGCATGTCCCAACATGTTATCAATGCCAATTAATTTCGAGGGGTAATATTCAACAGTTTTTCGACAAATAGGCAGATCTAAGTTCCGGTGGTTTTCAATAATTTCTATCTTTTGAAATTTACGTAATCCGAAAGATTTTCAATGGAATTCGCCTTTCACTCTTTTCAGGGATATCTGTTGGAAAGATAATATAAAATTTAATTTTTAATTTTTCCTGAATTTAATAAATTGTTATATTGAAGAAAGTGTGATCGTTTTGGTCGTTAAAGGTTTCGTCGGATGACATTCGTTTTCTCATACATTTTTATAATAAAAATTAAGTTGTGCAAAAGTAAAGCATACTTCATCATGGAACCTATACTATATTATAAAGTATTTGATAAAAACTTTTAAAAACTGTTTTTATGCATGAAGTACTGTTTATTGATGCATATTACTTAAAATTCAAGAGTACAAGTAATTTTGCATAAGTACAACTTATTAAAACTCCATTTT